AGCTCGTCGTAGAAGCTGCTGGACGTCCCGTCTCGGCCTCCCTGGCTGACCACAGGGCCCTGCGGGCGCCCGCGGGGCTCAGGGCGGGCTGTCTGCGCCGCCGGCAGCTCCCGGGGCTCCTCCCGGCGGTCGCCGAGGGCGTGGGCAGTTTGGGGGTTTGTTCTCTTACGCGGGGTGGGCTGTGGTCAGCTTGTCCCGTGAGAGCTGCCGCGTGGCCGAAGGGGGGCCGGAGTGAGGCCCGCGGCTTCCTGGCCCCGCCCTGCCCCGCCGGCGCGTCCGATGCTTTTTTAAGTGGCGGAAGGAGTGCGGGGAGTTCGTGTGGACACCCACACGCGCTCTCGGGGTCACCGGCCCCGGGCGGCGTGGCTCTCACGGAGGGGCCCGGGCCGCGGGGTGTCCGTGAGGGGGACCCGTTGCCGGACTGCGCAGGCCGTGGTGGCCCCGCTTTCCCGAGGGGCTGGCGGCGGCCCCCGGCCGCGACCCCGTCCGCGGCGCGGTCTGCTCTCCTGCTGCTGGGAAGCCGCTTCTCCCTGTGCGTTTGTGGACGGACGGAGTGGAGGCGCGTCACCGTGGCCTCTCGGAACCGTCAAGCCCCGACGGCGGTTGCCGGGGGGAGCGGCGGGCAGACGCCTCCCCGCTCCTGAAAAACGGTCACAGGTTCAGCCTGTGCCCCGAGCGGCGCCGGCTGCGTGGCGCGGCGTCCCCGAGGCCAGCTTGGGGTCCTGCCAGGAGACGCTGCTGAATAATGGAGCGGCAGGGCCACAGGAACCCCCGTCCCCCACGGCGCGCTGCGGGGGGCCTCAGACTCGGGTCTCGTCTGGGCGCTGTTTCGGCTCCGGCCGCCCATGTTCCTGCCTGGGCGTCGGCTGCCTGCCTGCCGGGCCTGGGGTCACTGGTCCGACGTGCCAGGGTAGGGACGAGCGGGTGCTCGACCCCCCGTGCCCGGGGGCTTGGGCTCGCAAACCTGCACCCCTGGGAGCCCGCGGGGCCCGAGGTGCCCCGCTCTGGGGGCCCCCGCCCGCTCTGGTCACAGAGGGTGCCCGCCGCAGGCTCCCCGGCGGGCGCATCCCGGCAGCCGTCTCCACGCACACCTGCACTGGTCAGCGAGGCACGTGCCATTGCCAAGGCCCTGCTCTCGTGGGCCCGCGGTGGGCTCTGCGGGGGTGGGCTGCCCCCGGCCGGCTGAGGGGCCCAGCTCGTGGGCTCCGGGCGAGTCCTTGAGGAGGCACTTGGAGGGGTCGAGGTGGACGGCGCCCGCGTCTGAGACGGCGCTGCTGCAGTTCCCGGTCCAGCGTGGCGTCTCTGGCAGAGGGGCCGGTGCTCGGCTTTGCCACTGCCCCTGAGAGTGGTCAGCGTGGCTGTGGAGAGCACTCGGTGTCCACGCAAGCCAGCGGGCAGGGCTGCTCTGAAGCCTGGCTCCTGCGTCTCCACATGTGCAGGGGGCCCGCACCCGCTGGCCGCCCCAGCTCCGGCTGTCCCGGGCAGCAGCCGCCCAGCGCCTTGCGAGGAGCAGGGCCCGCGCTCGGTTGGGAGCTCGGCCCTCGGCTCTTGGCTGTGGGAGCCGCCCCAGGGCTGACTCCCGGCGCTCGGCGCTGCTGGCGGGGCGTTGCTGACCCCGCAGGCAGGTGGCTTTCTGCCTGACAAGAACCCTCTGCGCCGCTGCCCCCGGCCGCGGGCCCCGAGGCTCGGCCCCGGCTGCCCGCGTGCTTTGCAGAGAACGTGGCCCCAAGGCCGGGAGCCATCACTGCCGCCGGCCCCCGCGCCCACGCCTGCCCTGCGAGCGGCGGGGTGCGGCACCGAGGCGTCTGGCAAACAGGCCCTGCTGTGGCTGCCGGGCAGCGCCAGGCTCCCTGACGCCCGGGCCGCCCTCCGTTGCCCTTGTTGGTGGCCGGGACTTGGGGTACCCCTGCGTGGCCGCTCCCAAGAGACACCAGTGATCGTGGCGAGACGTGTCCCCCGCTGCCCGAGGTCCCGGTATCCGCAGCCCCAGCTCCGCAGCCTCCGAGGTGGCCCCCGCTTCCGGCTGGCGCGGCGAGGGTGGAACACCCTGCTCGCCGAGGAAATGCGGCTTTCTGGGTTTCTTTTGTTTTTTAAAGATTTATTAATCTATGCGTAGAAGAGCGGGGGCACAGGACGTGTGTCGGTGTCCCCACTGCCTGGTGGGCCGGGCGGCGTGGCAGCTTCCTGGCCAGGCGGCAGTCTCGCTCTGAGCGTGCCGGCCACACGCAGCCTGGCGACGTGCCCTTGTGGGTAAGCTCGGTCCGCCGGCGGGCGCGGCGGGCTCCTCTCGGGGCCGTGGGTGTGGCCACGACATCTGGGCGGGGGGTCCGGCCCGGGCTCCTGGCGGTCACCGTTGTGGCTCATCAGCCTTGTTCTGGAGTGACCGGCCCAACTGTTCATGTGAGTGGCCCGGCGGCGGGTCTGCCCTAGCGCGGCCTGCGAGCGCCCGGTCTTTCTGCTAGGCGGTCAGGCTGGACAGCTGCGTCTGCGTGTGCAGGCCATCTCAGGGAGCGGGCGGACACCAGCGCGTGGGGAGCAGCCTGTGCACGTGGCAGCCCAGTGCCTGGAGCCCAGCTCACAGGCCAGCGCAGAGGGGCAGGTCCGGCTAGCTGGGCAGTGCCAGCACTGACCTACCAGAGGGCGTCCGTCCCTGCTGCTTCTGGCCTTAGGCGCCCCTTGCTCCGGTCAGCTCCTGAGAGAAGGGGCTCGAGCTGAGGAAGCCCGACACCCCGTGCCCTCACGGGGTGCCTTGACTGAGCAGAATAGCAGGAGCAGTGACCGCTCTTCAGCCACCGTGCTGCTGGTGTGGGGACGGACACGCAGGCCGCGGCAGAGAGGCCACCCTCGTCCTGGCCCGCGGGGCCTGGAGGCCGCCCCTCCCCCGGTGCGGCGGGGGGCTGGCAGCGCAGACCTCGCCCGAGCTGCGGGGCAGAGGAGGCGCCAGGGCGAGCTGGAGCCCGAGTGGGCCCATGGGTACCATGGACAGGGCCCCGCCACGCCCCGCCCCGCCCCGCGGGCTGCTTTCAACGCAGGTTTGGCACAGACGGCCGTGGCGCTCCCAGGACGCCAAGTGCTTTGATGCCACATGTGCTGATTTTGGTTTGAAACTTACTTTTAATTTCTGCCATGGAACTGCTACCTGGAGAACGTCAAGGACAGTCAGATCAAGGCCAGTAAACCTGGAAAGCCTTAAACGTTATGATGGCTTCGGGGTCTGTTTCGAAGTGCGAGCGAGTCGTGGACGTGAAGGTGAGGGTGTCCCCTCTTGCACACGCCCGCTGTCATGGGGGTGGGGGGCGCCTGTCGGAGGTGTTTGCAGCGCGGGGCGACAGTCCACTTCTCTTGCCGCCAGGAGTCCTCCCCGCTTGGCCACGGCGCCCAGCGCCCCTCACACTGCTCCCACGGTGCTCCCGGGGCCCAGCGGGACCTTGCTATTGTAGCAGCCGCCTGGCCCTCGGCCTCATTTCCGGACGGAGGCACTGGGCCCCAGGGAGCTGAGGGCCCTGCCCAGGAGCACGTGGGGGAGGCCGGGTGTGGAGCCAGAGAGCCCTGGACGGCGTGTGAAGCCGCCTGCCGCCTGGGGCAGTCGCACGGGAGAGCGACGGCAGTAGTCACAGTGCCGTGCAGGGGGAGCCCCAGCCGGGCGAAGGGCGCACAGGCTGGCCCCCAAGGCCTGCCCCTCCCCTGCCGGTGGCCCGGTGCGCTCCGCCTGCTGGTGGCTGCTGCCCTGCGGTGCTGCCGCCGCCGCCATCTGCTCGCCAGGCCCTTCCGCTCCTTCCTGCCCCTCCTCTGCCCTCGGGCTGTCCCGGACTTTGCTCCCAGCCGGCCCTTCCTGTGCGCCGCGGAGCTGCAGCCCTCGGGGCGGAGCTGTCCCCGCGGCTTACAGAGTAACCAGCGTGGCGGGGCGCCGTGGCAGCAGCCTCTGCTCGGCCTGCGCCAGCGCCGCGACGTGCTGGCTTCGCCTCGCTGGCCGGGC